CAGCCATTCCTCTACACAGAAACCAAATCCTACGAGCTGGCAGGTCGTCCAGAAGCTCCCCGATCCTCTCGCCCTAAAAGATGAACATGCCCACTGTCCTCAGCCCATATTCAGAGAGAAAACCCTCCATTCTCTGGGCTTTTTATTGGCCCTGCACCGAGGCTGCACCATTGCGTTGATGCCCTTCCTCTATGGGGGAGCGGGAAAAAGTACCAAGGGGGACATCTGACGACTGTCAAGCAAAGAGGGAGAAATTCACTTCCTCCGGTAAACTGCCCATACAGCTCTTGATAGATCCCTGGATGTCGTCGTCCTCTGTAAAGCCTGGGCACACCACGTTCTCCCCGCAGCCGCCAGAGGACAGAGGGCCCCAGGCCAAGGGCCCTGTGTCCAGGCAAGGGGAACGAAAAGCATTGGAGAATGCGGGCATCGATCCCGCTGCCTCTCACATGCTAAGCGAGCGCTCTACCACTTGAGCTAATTCCCCAGCACACAGCCCCTGCCTGAGGTCCTCTCCCCGCACAGGCAGCCACCTTGACCCAGGCTGGATGTGCCGCACATCTTGGGCCTCCTACTGGCGTTTCTCTCACAGCCCCAGCAACTCACACACTGGCTTCCCTGTTGGAGGCGACCCCTGACAAGCCCAGTGTGCCGGTGCCATCATCCCCTGCACTGGGTTCAGTCCACACTGGCTTGGGTGGTGCTCCTCCCCGCCTCAGGCAAGAGCTCCAGGCTGGGCAGCCCTTGAAGTGGAGCCATCTGGGCAGGGCTAAAAAGGCAGAGGTGCCCCAGGGCATGGGTCAGAGCCAAAAGGGCGCTCCTTCGAGCCGGAGTTGAACCAGCGACCTAAGGATGGCCGTGCAAGGGAGCCTACAGTCCTCCGCTCTACCAGCTGAGCTATCGAAGGAATCATGGGGCTCTGCCCACTGCCTCGCCCATCACACACTCATCCAACACTTCCCTATCCGCAGTGTTCTCTGATGCCTCTAGCCCAGCATCCCTCTCCACACAGACTCAGCTCCGTCATCGCGCTCCCTTGCTCAACCCTAGAGCCCGTCAATTTGCACATGCACACAGACAGAAAGGCTCCACGGGATCCTTGCACGGCATCTTCTTCAGCAGGACTCTCCTCAGTGGTACAAGGAGCTTACTCATACCCTGCTGCAGCTTCCCTCGCTTCAGTTTCACCGTGCTCCCTTTTGCCCTCCGGCCAAGCACCAGAATGATGCACAGCCATTCCTCTACACAGAAACCAAATCCTACGAGCTGGCAGGTCGTCCAGAAGCTCCCCGATCCTCTCGCCCTAAAAGATGAACATGCCCACTGTCCTCAGCCCATATTCAGAGAGAAAACCCTCCATTCTCTGGGCTTTTTATTGGCCCTGCACCGAGGCTGCACCATTGCGTTGATGCCCTTCCTCTATGGGGGAGCGGGAAAAAGTACCAAGGGGGACATCTGACGACTGTCAAGCAAAGAGGGAGAAATTCACTTCCTCCGGTAAACTGCCCATACAGCTCTTGATAGATCCCTGGATGTCGTCGTCCTCTGTAAAGCCTGGGCACACCACGTTCTCCCCGCAGCCGCCAGAGGACAGAGGGCCCCAGGCCAAGGGCCCTGTGTCCAGGCAAGGGGAACGAAAAGCATTGGAGAATGCGGGCATCGATCCCGCTGCCTCTCACATGCTAAGCGAGCGCTCTACCACTTGAGCTAATTCCCCAGCACACAGCCCCTGCCTGAGGTCCTCTCCCCGCACAGGCAGCCACCTTGACCCAGGCTGGATGTGCCGCACATCTTGGGCCTCCTACTGGCGTTTCTCTCACAGCCCCAGCAACTCACACACTGGCTTCCCTGTTGGAGGCGACCCCTGACAAGCCCAGTGTGCCGGTGCCATCATCCCCTGCACTGGGTTCAGTCCACACTGGCTTGGGTGGTGCTCCTCCCCGCCTCAGGCAAGAGCTCCAGGCTGGGCAGCCCTTGAAGTGGAGCCATCTGGGCAGGGCTAAAAAGGCAGAGGTGCCCCAGGGCATGGGTCAGAGCCAAAAGGGCGCTCCTTCGAGCCGGAGTTGAACCAGCGACCTAAGGATGGCCGTGCAAGGGAGCCTACAGTCCTCCGCTCTACCAGCTGAGCTATCGAAGGAATTAAATTTACATATCATCCACTCTTTTATACTTCATAGCACAACCATTTCTCACCCTGAACAGCATGCTTTATTTCTTTGAAATTGTTTCTCCCCTCACACAGATATACCCTTATCAGACCTAGCCCTCCAGCACAGTCTGGCCTGATCTCACCTGTCATGCTAAGCCTCCCACTGACAGATATCCTTATCCTGTTTTTCTACTTCATTTCTCTGAGTGACGTAGATATCTTGCAGTATATCTATTTCTCTCCTTCTTGTCACTTTTCTCTGCAAACGCATCCCATTTCTTGCTGCTGTAAGTGTTGAACTGGTGTTGGTCCCAATTTGGTGAATGAGAAGACCATTTAATGTAAGAAAACTTTGCACATAAATTCATGTGTACTGTAAGGGACAGCAAACTTCTGTGTTTGTTTCACTCTTCGTATTTTGGCTTCTTTTCTCTCTACTCAAAATGCACCACAATTTTCACATAACTAGGCATATCACTTTTCTAGAGACCCACAGGTGAATCTTCTATAATGCTGATACTTCATGTTATGTCACAGAGTTTTGGTCTTTAATTTTGTTGTTTCTTGGGTTGGACCTAACACAGTCCTTTTTCTCACTCCTATGAATGGACCTACCAGTATATATATTGCTTTCCCATTATATATCTACCCATATATACATTATATATCCATAAATAATCTTGAATTAGTATATGTCATCTAGGTGTGCAGGGAGTTCTTTTGTTAATGTACTATTTTTAGTGAGGACAGTTTTCTCAAAATCAAAATAAGAACATATCTCATCTTTTGTTAACTTTACTATGTTGAAAATAATTCTGTTACTACTCTAAAGCAGTACTAAGTAACTGAGTGTGCAACTAATATTTTTCACCTTTTCAAAACTACATTTTGTTCAAATTCTGATTTTTTAAATTAGATTGTTTAGGATATGGAGAAAGCTGGAGATGTCTTTGTGTCTATAATGAAAGAAAGGGAGGAGATTGATCGTCTGATGCCTTCAACCATGAAAGTAATACCTCTCCCTTTTTTTTTTTTTTTTAATTCTAATTGCTGGGGTTTGGTTTCAGCTAAGAAAAGAGATAGATTGCATAAGCTACTTAAATACTTGGATGGCACATAATGTCATTAGTCATGCAAGACTTAGCTTGTTTCTCCAGTTCTCCTATTTCAACTTTTATTATGTTTAAGGTACCACATGTTAAATATGACTGAAAAATTATGTTCAGGGTACCACATGCACAGTATATTAAATATGACTGAATGTAGTGACATAGCGCTTAGGGACATGGTGTAGTTGGGAACTGTCAGTGCTCGGTTAATGGTTGGACTAGATGATCTTCAAGATCTTTTCCAACCTAGATGATTCTGTGATTCTTTGAAGCCCTTCATGCTATCAGAGACTTGTTTAAGGAGTTATTTATGATGTATGAGAAGATTACTTGAGTTCAGAGTACAGAACTGAAGAGATCGTTGGCAGAGGCTGTTCCCAGGCTCATATCAGTCTTGATATTGTCAGAATGTCTCCGAGGCAGGAACTGTCATCAGGAGCAAAGCAGTCACATTTTACTAGGGGAGTAACCTGTACTGGGACTTCAATGGAATGTCAAGCAGGACTCCACTCTGAAGATAGATTTGTTAAAGGAAGTGTGGGCACACTCCCTTCACACCACAAATAATATTTTGGGGAATAACAGTCACGGCTAGCTCCTGAAACACTTGGAGAGACTATTTACAAAATGCAACATAGCTTGACTGAGGTGAGAATCAGATTTAAAGCACTACTAAATCACTTCTGATGCCACTAGAGGTCAGCACTAGTCATTAAATAAATGTCCTGGAAAAATCTTGCCAGTTCTTCAAAGGGAGTGGAGATTTTTTTAAGATACACTTCTGTCTATGCTTGTTTTGCACGTACATGTGAGCTCATAGTGCGAGTGCTTCACCATGGTTGGAAGCAAACCCTCTTTTCTCAGCTGTGCTTCCCCAGCGCTGTCTGTGAGCCAACAGTCCCACACTGTTCCTCTCAAGCTGCACCTGTCCTCAGATGCGATATCACAGAATACAGGGGAGGAAGGCAGGACCTTTCCTAGCCCTGTCCTGGCAAAGGTTTCCTACCAGCATAAACAGCCCAGACCAGTTGACCATCAGCTTCCAGTGCTTTAAGGATTGTCTCAGAAGTGCAGCAGTGGGGAATTAGGCCCTAAGACAGGCACTTGAAACTGAGGCTAACTCACTATGCTTCTCCACCTTGTGCTTCAGAAAGATGCTTCCTTTCTATTGCAACTCCTAACTGTGTTTTCCTCCATCACTGCCTGGACTTCTGCAAACACAAGACACTGTTTAAAAAATTTTAATATAGCTACTATTGATAGGCAATTGAATACAGAATTTTCTTTGGTATAAAGAAGATGATGGCATAAGCAGGGTGATTGTCATGTTTCTAAATGACTTTTTAAAAATCTTTATCTTTGTTGAAACTTGCTAAATGATGCAAATCAATTGGCAATCATAATGCAACAAATGCCTGTGATTTATTATCATGCTGCAATCTGTGCTTTCAGCATATATAACTGGCTCCTTTAACATGGTAGCTGACTCGATATCAATACACAGAGTTCATGCTCAGGGTAATAGAAACCCCTCTTTTACCAAAACTTTCATGTTCAGTCACTTTTTCTTCTACTGAATACATCAGATCTAGAAAAAGAGAAGGCTGTAAACACAGTTAGACTTATTATATCTCTGTTAAAGTATTTTGTCATGTTTTGTAAGTGTCCGTATATCCATATACATGCACACATACAGCTAACATTTTCTTTCCTTTTTTTTTTTTTTTTTTTTAATGTTTAAGAAAACTGGCTCTGAAATACCATCCCGACAAGAATCCAGACAATCCAGAGGCTGCAGAAAAATTTAAAGAGATCAACAATGCTCATGCAACACTGACTGATCTGTCCAAGCGAAACATTTATGACAAGTATGGATCATTAGGGCTCTATGTGGCAGAGCAGTTTGGTGAGGAAAATGTTAACACCTACTTCATGCTGTCAAGCTGGTGGGCAAAGGTAAGCTGTTTTTCTGTCGGAAAAGGAATGTTACAATGCACACAGACAATTACATACACAAGGAAGCACCTGAAAAACATGGTCTGTCTACAGGCTTAACAACTAGTAGGATCTGAATCTAAACAGCTACTAAAAGCTTAATTAAACAAAAACATTATCTGGAAAATCAACACTGGCAAAATGTAACATAATACAGAATAGTGCTAATATAGAATGTTTTCTTCTCCTTTTTAACTTGGTAAATAGTTAAATGTTTTGTAACACTTTCAGACATTAATTAGATTTGAATCTAGTGCTTCAGGTTAATTTTTACTTTCTTTTCAGTAATGACTAAATAAAAATGACTCATTGTTCAAATACAAGAAGTCCCACTTATGTGACAACCAGTTAATAAGATATTACAGTACAAATTTAGCTGTGTTCTTTGCTATATATAGTACACAGTGTAAGTAAGCAATAATAATACATAACAGTCTGTGATTATGGTGTCATATATGTGCCCTGGTGAGCGGGTGAGAGAAAGGAAGTGGAAGTAAAAGGTGAGAAGGGTAGAGTGGAGGAAAAGAGTAGGAAAGGAAGAGAATGGTATGTCAGAAACTAGCGTATTGCTCAAGGAAAAACTCATCACGGGCTATTCTAATCATAAAGGAGTTGTGTTCATGGACTATCTTATGTCACTGTCATCCTCTGATGTTTGCCTATGTCAAATATGAGTGTTTCTGCAAATACTGGTATGTTACAGAAATGTAACAAACCAACAGAACTGCAAATGTGCAAAATCCATCATGTCCCCACTTATTTCCAGCAGCAGAAGCACAGAAAAGCAGGGACTCTGCTGGAATACACTGGAAACTGATCTGTACTGTGTGAAGCAAGCACGCTGTGATAGCTTTGATCTGAGAACAGTGGAACATGGATTCCTGTGTTCAGCACAGATCAGGCCAGTGCTTCACTGCCTCACAGTCCCCTTTCAAACTGGGAAGTCACTTGGGCACTTCATGGGTCTGAGATGCTATAATTTGTCTGCTGAATCAGGGTGACACAGAAGCTGCTCAAAGAAAGAACAGTGAATGAAAGTCATGAATGAAATACTGGTGTTAAAATTACACTTGCAAAGATGCAGTTGCACGCTCAGAAGCAGGCTGGAGGCTGCCTGTTTGCATCTGCTGTAGCTGACTCCTGTTGCAGGCTGGATGCCCCACCACAGCTGCTGTTTTCTCCTGCTGGATCATTCCCTCTTTTCTCTGCTTTCCACCCTCTCCTTCAGCCTCTTTGTCCCAGTTCAGGTGCCAAGAAGCATTGCCTTAGAGCTGAGAGAGCAGCAGTGTAACAGTCTTGGTAAACAAGGTTTACTTCATTGCTGCTTTTTTAGCTTTTATTTCCTCTTCTGCTTACTGATCTTTAATGGAGATTTTATTAAGTATGAAATCCTCTGTGGTTAGAAAATCAGGAACAGACATAAGCACTGTGACTTTGACTCATAAGGAGAGAAGTGGAGAGTAGTACAGAGAGAAGCTAGTAAGTCCCTAACAGCTAAAGAAGGCATGTGTAGATTGTTTCAAGAGAGCTGTATCCCAGAGGTGAGATGCGATATGCTGAATATCCCAGCAAAAGTAATCACCACTTTCTCGTTTTTAAGAATTCTGTACAAAAAATCCAAAATATGCATATAGACTCATTTGAGGATTGTCATAACTGGTCTCTCTATCTCTCCCTCAACCCAAAATATTGCCACCTCCAAAGCACAAACAGGTCACCAAGTGTATTTTTGCAAGCTGAGCTCACTATTCCTTAATTCTTCCTAACTCATGCACAAATGCTGGGTCAGTTTCAGATTTTTGTATTGACCATCATACTACTATTTGAGTCTGAGGCAACATCTGCAGATGACCCTAATTTCCTCCATTCTAGAAGAAGACAGAAGTAGGGATGACAGTAGGGATGACAGCTTTTGCCTGTTCTCTTTCTCTTCAACTACAAACATTCCTGATAAATTTTCTTCCCAGGCATACTCATACTCAGAAAATCTGGCAATTGTGAGAAGGTGTATCATTAGAAGTGAATAAACTCAAATGAAAGGAGAAATGCAAAGCGAAAATTACTTTTTTTCAGAGTGCCAGACTTCTTGTTAAGGCATATTAAACTGGGAACATACTGACATGGGTAATGGGAATTTTAACTGCTTCTCCACTGGCAGGCATAGGGGTTGTTCATTTAACTGTTATAGCAAAATGCAATTTTCCCTCTACCATGAAGACAGTTTACTGATCACATCAATAAACTGATTCTTGATTTATCAACTATGATAATATAAGCACAAGAAATCTTGAAACATTTAAGGTATCATGAATAAATTAAAGTATTTTTTCCCTCTATACACTTTTATTCTGTCTTTTTTTCATTCTATCCATTGCGGTGATTTGTTCTCCATTATGGCAGTCAGATAACTTATTTTAGGGGCTACAGCATTTAGAACAGTTTTGGGTGTCCATTGGAAAGAAAACATTTTAAAACAAAAAGTCAGAGTCCTTCTTTTAATTTAAAACCACCTTGCTCACTCTTGACACATGCCTATATTAATTACTGCCATTACTTTGAATACCTTCAAAGATGCTCCAGTCAACCCCCACTAACATTGCCTGAGACAGACATACATAACCGAGTGTTATTTGCATACCTTCATTGTCAAAGTTTGACAATATCTTGACATTTGTGCTTGCTTTCTTCCTCAGTGGCATGTTTCCTTATGAATATAACAAATAGTTAGTAAAAGGCAGACTGTACAACTGTAATGCTAAAGCCTGGCTATACCTCCAACCTATATATATACCTGTTGTCCACAAAGCTGTGCTAGCTTTACATACTCATTCCACATATGAGCTTTGATTCACTTTTCAGGAATGTTACTGGCTTTCCTTTGCTCTTACACTGCTATGTCCATGAAGAGATGTGGAGGTTTCTCCTTTGCCACAAACATCTCGGTGCAGGCCTGGATCCACCCCAGGTCAGGAGTCAGGCTGCCATCATGCCCCTGTGGAGCATTGGGTGGCAATGCCAGCCTAGGGACTCCCTTCTTGCAACCCCCCCATGCCGTTGCCGTGACGCAGCATGTAGCTCCCAGTGTGAGCAGCTGTGGAGCTGTGCTGTGAACCCAGGCAGTGACCTGGTGTGGAGGAAGAAAACTTCTGTAAATTAAAGTTTTCTGGATGTTGAATCTGGCTGGGATCTCTGATCTCAGCTCCAAGCAATGGTGCTGGCTCTGCTGAAGCCTCTATCCTCTGTGCCACAGGGACAGGAGTGAGCAGAAGACAATGCAGGTGGGAACTTCTTCCCACCTGAGTCCCCAGCTCAAGAAACCAGAGCCAGAGTCTAATTTAGGAGTTGTCACCTGTGTGCTCCTCAACAGGCTAACGGGGAGAGACACCCCCAGCAGGCAATTCAAATCCTCCCAGGGCTGAATCACCCACTGGAAGGGCTTTTAACTTCCCATTGACTATGTGGGGAGCCCACGGGGGCCACAGTCCTAATTTGGATGCCTGAAGTTATGTGGGTCTTTGCTTCTTCTTTTGGCTTTGTAATTGACAAGAACCTGCCAGTAAATAAGTGTTTGTGAAAAGGATTTTGGGCAAATGAGTCATTTTTAAGATGGAAATGAGTCATTTTAAGGTGGGTAGGGTTTTTCATACTGCCTGGAAATTTTTTCTGAGGGCCATCAGCTGAAGACAGACTTTCAAAAGTTGAGCATGTGGGGGTCTGCTGTTTGGTGTCTTCTTTGTGGACGTGGTCCTGAGTGGCAAGTAGGAGCTCGTGGGTGAGGAAGACTTTGGAAGATTTGGCTCTTGTTCAGGCACTTGGCCAGCAGCTGCACTCTTCTGAGTGCCAAGAACTTGGGAACCAGAGTTCCTCTGGCGATCTGCCTTCAGCTGTAACAAGCTAGCTGAGTTTGAGGAAGGTCATTGCTCACAGGGTTTTCCTCCCACTGTGTTTAACCCAGGGCCTGTTTGCAGTCTGTGGCCTGCTGACAGGCTGCTACCTCTGCTGCTGCTTCTGCTGCTGCTTCAACTGCTGCTGTGGAAAGTGTAAACCCAAAGCACCCGAAGGAGAAGAGCAGGAGTTTTGTGTGTCTCCGGAAGATTTGGAAGAGCAAATTAAGAACGACATGGAAAGAGGTGTGTATTATAGGAGCTTACTGTGTGGCAAAGCTGTTCAAAGCGATCTTTAAAGCCTGTCGGCCAGATGTTCTCCTCACGATGCTGTTGCTGCTTCCAAACAGCAGTGGAGACATGCCAATTCACTCTAGCTAACACCATGACCTGATGGATTTCCCAAGTTGTGTGTTAATGAAAAACTAAACTTACAGCACTAACAATTAAATATCTCCTGTATCTCTTATCACTTAAACATTAGAAGTCTCAGGGCATTTCTTAAAGACGATGTTCACCCTTTAGCCCCCATGCCCACATCACTTCATATACTAGATCCTGTACTTACACATTAGGCCCTGCCTGGACTGGTGCTTGCCACATCTCATCTGCCAGAATAAGCTGTCATTTGGGTTTTATTCATGTAAAATTGATCGTTGACTGTGATCTGTATGGGACTTGAATGGGACTAACTGTACCCATTCCAGAAACAGCTTCAAGAAAGGATGCAAAGTTTTCAACAGTCAGGTTGTGCAGTAACCTAAGAGAGTTTGCATGGGAGCTGCTATGGTCCTGCCCCTCTCCCGTCCAGTGCCTGAGCTGCTCGCTGTCTTCTACACTGGCAGTACCAATTGTGCTGCCTTACCAGGAGGCACACCTTGGATACAATCCAGGTGAAAACTAATCCTCTCAGAAATGTGTATAGTTCCATGCCTGTTTAACTCCCCGCTGTGCTTCACGGTGGGGCAGGCTGAGTGCTAATGACGACTCCAAGAAGGGAGCAAGAGTGCCCAGCTGGGAACACAGCCTGGGGGCAGTGGGACTCTCTTTGCAGCAAGTCACCCTCTTTTCTCAGCCTAGCCCCATCCCCCTGGCTGCACGCTCAGGTTTTGGCTATACCAAAGGATGATGGTGGTGATTTCCTAATCTGGCACCAGCATGGTTTACATATTTTGAATAAAGAGCCCTGTCCTAATCTACTGAAGTAGGGCAGAGTTTTGCCTTCGTATTCAGGGGAAGCAGAAACATCTCAGACTTGTTCAATTTGGACACTTGTAGGACAGGCTGAGAGAGGCAATGATCCTTGCTCCAGCAATAAGAGGCCAAGGTATCAGGGTAAGACCTAGGCCACTTTTCAGTTGCAAATTTATATAAACTGTGTTTAGGATTATGCTTTTTTTTAAGAGGAAGGACCTAAGCAGTCAGCTCACTCTTTCTCTTCCATTGTTATGGAAGGTCTTATGCTGTTATATTCTTACGTTTATTATGCTAAAATTAGCACTGCCAGATTGCAAATGTCATGTTCCCTTAGCAGGAAGAATTTTTTTCCCCTCAACTTTTCTCACAAATTTACCCTGCCATAAATATGTAACAAAACAGTTGTAGTAGTTGAAACAAATGCTATTTATATAACTGATATGCCAACGTGTGGTGGTGTTTTTAAATTGGTTTTGCCTAGAGGCCTATCAAGGTAAATACAGTGAGCTTAAAAATTGATCATACTTGATCAGTCTCTGCAAAGGCAAAAAACCCTGTTAGTCAAAACTTTATAACCACAATGCAGTATTTGAAGTAAATGTAATGTACTCTATGACATTAGGTACCTGAGAAATGCCAATCTAAAATGGGTCTTGATATTTATGGGTCTATGACACCAAAGCTAAGTTTGAAATGTGAAGATAGAATTTTGAAGGATGAGAATTTTTTAATTCTGCCTTTTTTTGTAATTTGGCAGGTATTTTGTTCTCTCTCAAAATCCAGCACAAAATTCCCCAGTGGCAGAAAAAAAAAAATTCCTTCTTTCCAGCACAGGTGGTATTTATTGATATTCAGTAATTTTTAGGCTGCTTTCCCAACCCTTTACTCCCACCAAGTCTCACTGAGATATCAATTTTTTAAAATAATTTTTAAAGTTTAGCCAAGTATCAGTGTGAAAAATTAACAGAATGTAGAATTACGTGTTTTAAGTATTTTGAAGACAATATTACATATATAAGTAGTGCCTGAACAAAACTAGATATTTGTCCCTTTCCTACACTTCAGTCTTCATACATTTTCCTACCAATCAAAACCAGTCTGTCCCAGTAGAGTAGAATTCTCCATATTTTAAAATTAGATTAAAAGAGAGCAACATATCAGGAACAGAAGTAAAAACTTAATGACAGAGGATAATGTGAGCGTCTTTTCTGCAGTTGAAAGGAAAATAGGCACTGCATTTAGAAAACTGAATGATAACCAGCTCAAACTGCACTTCCTCCCCCCTGACCCCCACCCCCAAATTTTAGGAATGCTGGCCAAAAAGATGCAGCTGACTTAGAATGGCAAAGACTGGGCTTTTCCACCAGACATTTTCAAATGTTGGGACATAGAAACCAATACTGATGCCTTCCTTTAGGTAAATAATAGATATGCTCCTGTTGGTAATTCAGAAACAAACTGTAATCACTCCTGAAGCAGATTTCATTTTGGAAGAGGAAATCCTATTAGGATCAAAATTCTTTGCATGCCCTCTGCCCACAAACTGAGCATTCTAGCTGTTAATGACTTTCTTTGCTTCCTGCTGTCCCCAGTATCTATATTATTGCTAGCCAGAACTTTTTTGCTAAGGTCAAAATGTAGATTGTCAAGCTAAGATTCATACTTTAATTTATCCAAATATTTGCTTTTCTGAGGAATGCAACATTGATAAAACATCACCATTCCTGCTAAAATGCTAAAAACCTCTGAGAGTGAGTCTTTAGCAGTTGTGTTGCACTCACTGGGAACTGCTTGGAGCTGGCCATACTGTGCAAAAGAGGCAATATGCGTGTTGTGGGAGCTGAGATTTAGACTTCATCTTTTGGACTGGCACAAAAGTAATTATTTTCAGTCACTCACATTTCTCCTTAACAAAATTAAGGTGTTACACAGTTGATTTTCAATCCTCAAATTAACATACCATTAACCATAATTGTTAGTGAAGAAAAGATATGTGAGGCCAAAAATTCAGTGATCCATTCCCTAAAATGTAAAAGCACTGAAATCACTGTCAAGGGCTTAAATTCTGTTGAATTGACATATTCCTCTAGAAGAAAGTTTTCTTCAAATATATTTGAGTAGTTCTAGTGCTCAGTTAGATTAATATCTCCCATGAGAGATCCATTTTACAGCATGTACTTCCATGGGTAGCATGACCATCAGAACTAAAGGAACTTAGGGACTTGAAAGCCCTGGCCTGAACTTAGGTTAAAGTGATTTCTTCTCATGACTATTCATTTGTACTACAGAGGACTGTGGCCTAATGTACAATGGAAGATGAAGAAAATAAATCTTATGTTTGGATTATTACATTTTAAACATGACGGTTTTTAGGGTTTCAGATCAAACATGACATTAAAAAAGTTTAAAGTAGGGTAATCTGTGGTTTCATGCCATGATGGTGACCTGTGAAAATACACTGGTAGAGGGAGGTATCACTCACTCATATGCAGCATGGACGCGTGCAACGGTTCATCGCTTTCACTCACACACACGGGGCAGATTGCCAGATTTCACTTCCAGGGAAGTCAATGGCAAACCTTTTGTTGACTTTTGTGGTCCCAGAGGAGATGCCTTTGAATTTGGATTGCCTTGGTACTTCAGGCTGTAATGATGCACTCAAGCAGTTTTGGCAGGTTTGTTCTCTTCTGCTTGTTATCACTGTAAGAACAAAGCAAGACATTTCTAGACCAACTTTCATTTTACAGAAAATGAAATCTGGGAGAGAAAAAAAGAAAAAGAAAAAAAGAACCTGAAAAACAAAATACTTTCCCAACTCAGAAGCAATAAGTTTTTAGCACTTCATTGTCTCCTCCGCACTCCATATGATAGCAATGTAGGCGAACAGTGAGCAAGAGCTATCTATAGAAAGCAGTTTAAACTGTGAATTCTGCCGCACCTTCATTCTGCAGCTTTCCATTAGCAGACTATATTTGTACAGTTTATTATACCATGGGTCCCTGTTCTGATAAAAAACCGTCATAAATCTTAGAAGAATGAGGGCAGCAAAATGCTTGGTGAAGGTGTCAGGTCAGAAGTGTCTGCAGATCAGCTGGAAGCAATGTGGCAGATTTGCAGTGGGTCCTACTCTCTTGTTGCACACCTGGGTATCACTGTGAAATGAACTGCCAGTCTCTGCCCTCCATCAATGATCTTCCAGAAAATGAACAACTTGGAGGTAGCAGAGGGTGGGAGGGAGTGCTGCTCAGAAATCTAGAAAATACACAGCAACTTAAAAACTGATTTAAACTGCCAAACTAATCTGAGCCTGAGCTGAGCTCTAGCATTAATTACTCATATACTTTTAGAAGTTATGAAACATGTCTGTCTTTGACCTTGTGTCTAAATAGGGAATTGCCCATACAGAGAAGCTGCTTGGCATTTAATCATTCTTGCCTTTCACCTTGACAGAGTCAAAGTTGTTCTACCCCCACTGAAGGGAAGCCGTATGGCATGCAATTAGATTCTTGCTCTGGGTTAAGTTACTCCTGTACATTACATCTTATGCCCATGATTCATCCCATCAACTGTCATGTAAACAGGAGGAAATGTCAGATGAGTTTTTTTCTGAACATTTGGTCATTTGGCAAAAAAGTCATCATTTGTATTCAAATACTGTGAAGGCTGTGTTATTATCAAGATACAGGTAGTCCAAAATTTTTTGTATTAAAATACTTCACTGAGATGGCTGAACCTTTAAAAGTCAGTCTTTGAGTTTTGAGTCCCCTCCGCCCCCTCAAAAGATGGTGGGTTGGAAAGAGGCCCAGGAGAAGGGCAGCCAAACACTGTTCATTATCAGAGGGAACACAACCGCCATCAGGAAACTCTATGAGAACTTCACTTTCCTCCACTCTACAACAAATGCATTTTTTACGGATATATTGTGAAAACAAACACATACTGCATGGAATGAGAAAGTACAAAGCAGTAAGGATTTATACAGTGATGATATGAGGTTTTGGCAGTTCCAAACTCATTAAAACAGTAATTCTCAAAATTCTATTGTATACATATTACATAAGACTTCAAAGTACAATTTAACATTTTTATTTAACTAGCTGGCTTTCAGAACGTATGTATGTGATTTCTTCCCTCTCAAGTATATTACTGCTCATAATTTTTTTTCCTTTTAACTCTCTTCTTTCTTTACTGTTAACTTTTCCTTCTACAAGACTCATTTCTGGCCCATTCTCGCAAATGCTGTCAAGGTTAGTGCTTGCTGAGTCACAACAGTGCTCATTATATTCAGACATTTGCAGGAACAAGCACTTGCAATTGGAACGGGCAGGAACCCTTATCCTGCAATCTCTGCAAAGCACCAGGTACAGCTAATGTCCTGTTTAATAGCAACAGCAATAGTCACCCAGAAATCTGCCATTACACATGGACAAGGCATAAGAGCATTTGTAGACTCAGAGTGGGCATTGCAGCCTCTTCAGTACACACAGCTGTCTGTGAAGTCAAGGTTAAGCCATAGCCAGAACAGTATGTTGCGGTGCTAACAAGAAATCTGACTTGGGTAGGAAGTGAAGGATTCTTAAAGTACTTTTTGTCCTCCTCCCCAATTTAGATGGAGAAACACCTATCGTGCTTCAGCCGACTAATGCAACTGAGAAGACACAGCTAATAGGGGACAGCCATCGGAGCTATCGCACAGATTCCTAGAATGGGCAAACACGACCTGTTGGTGCTTCCCACCAAGTGTCACAGCAAGAAGAAACAAGTGATAAGCTCTGCAGCCTGTATTTGTAGTTGTCTTTAAGCTAACCAAGAGTAACCTGAGAGTAATTTCATATCAAGGCAGAATCTCCCTCTAGGCCACTTCCAATAGGTTGATATCTGCACTCTGCAAGGAGATACCTATGGCCAGTACAGAGCTCTGTGGACCAGCATACTGTTCTCTCATGGCCTCAAGCTGCCAGGCTCAGTGAGGTATTCCCCTTTAATATTACTCCCTTTGGTTTTAGTTGCTGTCCTCCCTGCCCTCACCTGTGGTTTCACCTCTCAGACACAGTCCTGAAGCCCTTTCTGCACACACTGGCTCCGTCTCTCCCTGCCCTGGGATGTGAAATGCTCTTTAGCAGACCTCAGAGGGAAAGTTAGTGGCAAGGCAGATGGGAATGTCCTTCCCAGAGAGGAAATGCTCTTTGGAAAGCAGCTAGTGGCTTGCTGCGGCACAGCCCCAGCAATTATAAACCTGGGATCATTCTGCTGGGGGTTACAACACAGGTCACTCCAAATCCAGGAGCTTCATCCAGCACCTGGAGCAAATCTAAGCTTTGTGTCATCCCCTGCACAAGTTGCAAACCCAGGAGATGGTGAGCAAACGCCCCATGAAGGAGGAGACAGGCCCTGAGCTGCCCCAGAGCCTCTCTTCTCTCCCCATAGCCAGTGACAGCCTGGTGGCAAAACTTCCCTGATCCTGCCTGGACGTGCTGGCCGGCCCCAGCTTCTCCGGCTGCAGCTGCAATGCGCTGGAAATTGGTCCCCAGCCAACAGCTTTTTGTCAGCTTGCTTATTCCACCGTGCCCCTGGCTGCCTGCCTCGCTGCCCGCTGGCACTGGGCTGGGGGCCATTGTGCCAGCACTGACTCCAGGGCTGTGGCGGCAGCAAGGACCTGGCAGGGCAGGCAAGAAGCAGAGGAGTGACCGTCCTCCTCACAGCCCAGATCATAGGGGAGAGCCTGGGTCCTCCCCTCTGCCCCAGGCACAGGGCCTTTAAGAGCACATGGCATCATGGTAAGTAAAGATGTGGGATGAGCTGTAGGTTCAGGTGTGCTGCTGCACAAATCAGTGGAGGTATGTGTGGCTACGGCTAAAGCAAGCATGAAGAAATTAGGCCCCTAATTTGTAACAGCTAAAGAAATACCTCTGAGATCTTAAACTTAGCACTTCCTTGGTTTGATGTAGTAGTTTAAGCCTCAGACAGCTGAATTTTTCCTTATTGATCATGTTGCAATGATCATTGTCTGTTCTGTGCATTTGCTATTTTTGCTCCTCTAATCATAGTGCTGTGGTCCAAAGGGGGATGTAATGTTCCACTAAATTATATAGACCGGTGAATATATAGCTAGTCAAAAGTGTTATTCCCTTCCTTAAAATTGGATCCTGTGGTTGTGAAACATTATTATCTTCCTTCTAGTCTCACCTTTCACATCAGATGTCATTCAGTGGCAGCTAAATATATGGGAAAATAGTGTGTTTCATAGCACCAGCTGTAACTCCAAAGTCAAGAAATACTACTCTCAACATCTCTTTAAAGTTCCTGTAGCACATGGACATTTTAAAACCCATTAATTCCAGTTCAGGTTATATATCTGTTCTCCAGGTGCAGGCACTGGGACCAGTGAATGCTCACATTGCCCTCAGTAATAGCCCTATTTCTCTGCTTCAGAGAAGAGGGGAAGTTCTGGCATGGCTGGGGCTGTGCACAGGCACTCAATCCCCTCCTACCCGTGGGCTCCTCTTTGTCCTCAGTTGTGTGTTGCAAATAACTTTGGAGGCCACTCGTATGTACATAAATCCAGATGGCCATCCTGCCTGCCCAGCAGTGCTGGGGGGATGTGCCCATCCATCCTAGTGGTTCCAGGGAAGGAGGGTTGATGATACCATCCTGTCACTGAGGAGACCTGACCCCAGAAAACAGGTTCCCAGTGGTAACTGAGTGCTGCATGTCTTCCCACCAGGTGGCCGGATCAGATGGCGTGTGCATCAGGGTACTAGTGCTGCGAGACTGGCAGAGCAGGTGTCGGGGGGACACCAGCACCCACTCGCCCCTGTGCACATGCATCTTTTGGCTCTCTTCACTATTCCCCTCTGCATGGTGTTTGCTCTGGTGTAAGATCTTATTGCTGAATGAAGGAGTAGGGAGAATTTAGTATGTAATGAATCTGCAGGTAAAATGATTTCCTAAGTTTTACTGGGAGAGAAATTCACCATGAAAGTGTGCAAATGTTATGTAGTGACTATTTCCAGCAGAGAGCTGGAAAAGGCTTTGGAAGAAGAGTCTAGTGTAAAGCTACACATTAGACATGGAATTCTTTCCCATGTGAAACCCCTCCTCCTGCTCCCCATGGAAGTCACTGTGAATTGCACCTTTGATTTTAACAACAGCTACAGAGCAGGCCTAAAGCCAGAGAGGGAAAGCTAAATCCCAGATTAGCAAAAGCAGTTGGGTATTTTTTTCACATCCAACACCTTTGATGTCTCTCAGGACCCCACTCTATGGGCCAGAGCCAAAGTTTACTGAAATCAAGGAAATGATCTCCATGGGCTTGAGATGTGTACTGCAAGTCAGGTGGTTCTTATTTGCTCTTTCTAAATGAGAGATTTTTCTTGGGAAGGATTGATGACTCAATCTCACAGTGTGATGCAAAGTTGGACAAATTCCTGAATGTTTGCAAAGCCCTTTTACAGACATGGGGGTCTGTACAGAAGAGCCACAAGGTATTGTCTTAGCCAAAAACCTCAGAACAATTTCATGACCAAGCCTCTGAGTGGGTTCTCCAGGACTTGCAGCTTAAAAATCTGAGTATCTGAACCCATGGTTTAATTCCAAAGAGGAAACTTAGTTTTCAGAGTACCAGGGCATTTGTTTTTCTCACTGCTGTCAGGATCAGCTAGTCTGAGGACACATGGAGAAAGGATAAATAAGGATTTCAGGATTTAACTCTTCGATGTGATGTTACTCATTTGTTTTATTTTCAGAAAAGTTTCTAATGTGAACATAACTATGCTTACAGGATCTGTTTCTGTGTAAAGTTCAGTTGCACACCCATTAATCTTTTCAAAATGTACAGATCTCCAAATTTTTGTTCTGTTTTGCTGCATTTATTTATATGTAAAGTACTATACATTCAAATCTACATTTGCTTTCAACCACTCCAACTAATAAAGATTGTATGTATGAATTGTAGCACTCCCTTTACTTTTCCACACTAGGAACAACTTAATTCCGGTAACAGCTAGAGAAGCTATTGAGATAGCTGTCCAAAATGATGGCTTTGTGCCCAAGCAAATGTCAAGTGACAACTCAGGTTTTCCCCAAAGAGGAACTAAGTTTTGGATTGCAGCAGATGCGCCTACCTATGCAAAGCAGCCAGAGCTATAACTGCACCTTGAAAATCCCTTATATAATGCCGAATGCTTGTCTACATAAAAACAATATCAGCAGTGTGATGAAGTGATATAACAGTAGTTTTACTAGCACCAATTCCTGTATGGAATGATTTCCCCCAGCAAAGGGCATGCAGAGAGTGAAACCGTGATGGTGCTGAGGACAATGGCAGACGTCCTGTGAACTTCTCTGGAGCCAGCATCTTACTTGGGGGTTTTGCATCTGTCCAAAATCTGGTGCAGAGTGCCAGATAATCTGGGCCAGCCACGAGGCAGGAATATTTCTCACTAGGATGGTATCCAGTCTCTGTGACCGCAGAAGCACAAGCATTTGAAAAATGGACAAGAGGGGCAACTGTTTCGGCTGGATGTATTCTCAAAGAGGTGTCCTTGTGTATGTTTAGAGATTAACTCATACCCAGATTCACTCAAAATACCAGATGGAAGAGTATCGTAGAAGATTTAGGCCTACAATCAATATAACCAGTTATATAGGTAGTTTTTGCACTTTTCTCCCCACAACACGTTTGTGTGATAAAGCACTCTGCTTAATCAAAAAAAACCCCTCAAACGTAATTATATGTCATTTAGTTTTGTTACCTACCTTCCCTCAGAATGAATACCCAAGGTATGGGTATGATTTCAGTTAAAAAGAATTACGTTTCTGCCTCTTATTAGAATAAAATCATTAAAGAAAAACGGTGAGGCATGCAAAATGGAGCACAGTTAAAATTACTAATTTCTTCTTCTATGCTGTCATTTTCTATAGGGAAGAAAATGTTCATTGTGCTGTTACAAAGCAGGGAGAAAGACCACAGATGTCAGGAATCCCCTTCCTTCCCTCCACGAAGTTAAGTCAGTTAAATCATGACATCTGGCACCTCCTTTCACTTTGAGAGAGATGAACAGGTGCAGAGTTTCATACAAGAGGACTCAGTCCTTTGTGCCAGTGTCACCTGTCCCAGGGTGAGTCAGTAATAATGGGACAACTACATGGTAGCTGACACCTACAAGACAGTACAGAAAAGGTGATCCCAGTTTCCCACTAGGGGAGAGAGTTAACATGTGCTAAGTATCACCTGGCTGGGTTGAAAATGTATTCCTAATGTGGCAGTACGTAGGTGTACAAATACTTCCTTCTTCTGGAAAAATAATGTCTAGACGTTTGGGGAAGAGGAGAGTAGGTTCGGAAAAAAAGACCCTCAGAATTTCAACATCCTAATTAACTGCGATGAGATAAAGGGATCTCAACAAGTATCCTCCTGCACTAACATGCTTTGTGAGGGGTTGTGGTGAGTTGGAGCAAGAACAACATACACCTTGTTTTCCCTGAAAATTAACGAGGTGTTGGCAGCCATGCCACAGGCGCCTCAACCTCTGCTCCCGCATCAACAGCTCCTCCTGAAAGGGACTCGGCGCAGAAAAGCTCGGTTTGCAATTCAGCTGCATTTCTTAGCGAAAAACAGCCGTGTCTGCAACCGATTAAAGAGCAGCTGTTTAAAAGCACTTTGCACGACGCAAAAGCAAAAAAAATTGGCGTCTCCTTCGAGCCGGAATCGAACCAGCGACCTAAGGATTTCCGCAGACCAGAGCCTCTACAGTCCTCCGCTCTACCAGCTGAGCTATCGAAGGGACCTGCGTGGCAGCCCTCCGCCACGCCTCAAGAACGCAGCACGGCTCGCGTAGGCGCTGCGCACGCATGCGCAGGGCGCTCGGCCC